ATTTATCCATTTCACTTTCTTTGTTTTGAGGTAGTTTTTTTAGGAGAAAAATATAGTCAAATCATTAACATCGGATATCGGTGCCAGAGAGATTGTTCCAGGTCTTTACGTCAATTCTAAAGTGCGCATCGACCTCCCTGTTCTATCGAGTTTTAGATTTTAAAAATGCACAAACAAATAAGGTAATTTCAAATAAGGTTTCCAAGTCGACGGCTACACGTGTCCTATTGTTAAGTGAAGATACCTTTAGAGCAATAAGTTCAGACTATTCTTTGGAAAATAGAAACATTGAAGACAGCACATCAAATTTCCACACACAGTCTCTATCAGTTTTTGTACAGTTAGCTGTACAACAAACAATGCAGCAAACATTACAAGAAATAGAACGAGGATGGTAAACAACTATAAATAGGACGTTGACCCTTTTTACGCTTAAAATTGCTGGCTGTCTTATTTTAACACACTGCGAGTTTCCATTAATTGCCGCAGCACACCCTAATATCCATTTTCTATCGGAAAGCTCTGGGTGTATGCTGGGTAGAATAGAGAAACTTTCAGTATTGACTCGCGGTTTAACAGTGCTAGCGTAATTCAACATCACACATAATATCACTAAAAATAACAAACTATACAATTGCAGTCACAATATCAATGAAACCGTTTGCAAAACAAGTCCCACAATGGGACCCCCCATTATAACTTAATCGCTAATGGGTATTATGGAGGTATTATAAGAAGCTATTTTTCATGCATATGTCAAATGACAAATTAAGCTGATAGGTTCCCATTGCCCAAGGTGAAAAAAATCGCCAATTACCACATCGCATCAATAGGTCAACTCTTACCATTGCTGCTGCATTGAATTCACTGAAGGAGTTGATCGCCAAATTGACTTTCACAGCGGTGGGGATTTCTGTAAAGAAATTGGTAAAATGCCGACAGATTATTTCCTGCAGGATCTGGCAATGGTGGAAACACACCCCACATCCAGATAACAAAGATGCTTAAAATGGTTGGAAGGTTTAAAAATAAATGTGTAATAAAGAGCAGGATCAGGATGAATACTTTTTTCCTAGAACAATAAAAAGAAGTTAATAAGACGCTTTCATGCAGTTTTATCGTAGAATCTTTTACATTACCAACACAAAGACGTTTAAATCTACATTTTGGCAATGTAACACAAATTCTGTTTCATCTATACACCTACAGTCTTGATAAAATTGTTTTACAAAGTCACCAAACATAACCAGGAAGCAGCCCCATAATAACGATCCCAAGCAAGTGCACACAAGGAGCTCTTTTGGCATGAATTGAAAATTGGAATAATTCAGTGCAGAGTATATCATGGTATGACGGAGCGCTTAGATAGGTATCTACAGACAACAAACCTTGCTGTCTAATTGATTGAATTAGGGGACGGCAATGTTGCATTTGATACGATCAATGGAATACTCTACATGATAAATACAATTACGATATTGGCGTTAAACAACAGCAAGAACATCTTTCCATTTAAGAACAGTTTGTAATACAGCCTCACAAATTTTTCGCAAAAAATGTGCTTAACCATTTAGTTTGCTGTAAAAACGAAAAAAATAGCACAATACCAATAATACAGCAATACTAACATGAATGTTTAAAATACATGCAATTAGCAGAGGATAAAATAATCATAAGACGATTAGCACTGCATTTTCTGCCTTAAAAGCATTATATACATATCCATTTAGCTTTCAAAACGGTCAATGAGTGTAAAGTGTAGAGATCATGCTGTATTATTAGTGGGCTGTTTGTCGTTTTCTTGTCAAAACGCTATCTAAATGTTACATTTACTGTTCCGACATGCGAATCCTAAAATCGATACTAAAAACGCCTTTCTGGGCATGTCGTAAGCTGCAGAACCAAATGGAGTCCGTCAACTTCCCATGTTTTCATCGTTCATCAACTCAAACACTAATGAAACCATCTGCGTATAATAATAAGGTGCGGACTGTTAAGTGAAACAAAAGGATATCAGTCAACCAAATTCATTGACCCTAATAGCTTTATGATATAACGCAATCATCGTCACGTTGTTTTCTTGTAGTTGGGGTCTATTAGAAAGCGTGGCCAGATTGACGCATTTCCCAACACGTACAGATGACAGGAAATTAAAAGGCAACTTCATCACTGAGCTACATAAATGGTCAAGTAATTGGATGCCACATTAAGTCCACGATCAATCAATTCGATTATTAAATGGCGATGGCAAAATATGTTTTTGTGTCTCTTCACAAATTATTGGATGATTCAAAGAGCGTCCGAATGGATATCATATGTCAAATTGGAAAAAAAAGCCACAATTGAATTTCATAAGATTTTCGTCTTGTTATTATATTTTCAGATTGAGTAACTAATTTATCTGACCAGATATAAACGTTTAATACTTCTCTTTGTTTGCAAGATTCTGAGCGCAGAGAAAATATCTTGTTTGTTTATCATAATAAACAACACAAACATTACTTGGAGGCATTTTACTTTTATCACTGCAACAGTGTAGACAACATTAGGGTATGGAAAACTGCACCTCTTTAAATATAAACAACTTGACACAATGGCCATGGTATCATGATCATAGAAAAAGATCCATGACTTCTTTGAGGGCATCANCTAAAAAAAAAACGATTGAACGGTTCTCGGAAAGAATTTCCACGTCATATTTATAAAAAACATATCCAGACATGCTGTAAATGGACCTTGCACGGATATCCACATTCATCTTCGTTGACCAGACAAACATGGACGTTGTCATGGGAACATCTTATCTTTTTCACCGAAATCCATTATTTGATAATCATCTGTCTTACAAGTGATATCTTAAAGAAAACCGAACTGCAGATTAATCATTGATTTACCACATTTTTTTCATATGATGGGATTATTATCAGCACTTCATCATTTCAAGAAAGAAAGGAAATAAAATTACACGTTTTTCATTCGAAAACGTTGTTTTGAACATTCTCCCTTGCTGTCGTTCCATTGTGGTTCACTAAATGTAGTCCCAAACAAGCGCCCCTTTAGCAAAAGAGTCAGAGTGAGAAGAATCTGAATTTCACGTGGGACATACAATTTTTTCTCTGAACTATTGTATATCTTCTCTGGCCATTGTGTAACCAATAAAGATGAAAAGAAGAAACAGACTGGCGGTTCAAACCATTTTTATGAAAGACTCAAGAAGGCATTTTAATACAAACGTTATTAGTGCAGTACGATAAAATACACCACTACATACATAGGAAAGTGAAACTGCAAAGACATATAGAGGAAGTTTGATTTAAGAAACAAGTTAAGCAATTTATGTATAATACTAAATAAGTAACTTTGTAGCACATGTAAACGCAAGCATGTAAAACACACTAGTATATGAGCTCCTGTAGATAAGCTCTTTACGCTTCAACAACTAGTTTCTGTGTTCAAAAATTCCCTGTCATTTCCTAAGTACCTGTTATTGTTCTTGTCGTGCAGTTCTTGGCTGTCACATTGTCCAATGTGAATTCTGGAATGTTTACATGGATGTCATCCTTGAACTGCAGTGGATGATCGCTCCAGACAAAGATTATATCATCCGTTGTGTAAGCATCTGAAAGTGATAACAGAGTCAAAGAGGTCATAAATATATATTGCAGCTTCACATCCGCCAGAAGCCTTGTATAAGCAAAACTAGTCGGGAGCGCTGATGAAGAATTGTACACATGAGACAAATATGATGAAATAAGTGTTTCAGTAACGAAAATAACTGCATCAAAACATTTTGTCAATAAAGGCACATTAAGGAACGTTATTGTTTCACGCCTCAGGTGATAGAGATGTGTAGGTATTGCAAAATAGTAATAAAGTGAGTCATATCTAAATGAAAAAGCAACACAAAATACGGCAATTTCAATTTCACACTCGATAGACATGATGAGATGTAGAGACATATTTGCTCGTTTCCTTTCATGCAATCTTCTAATTACACTATTTCTATGATCATCATTACATCAAACGCAATCGTTACGTATATCCTAAAATCTTTCCTCAAAGCCCACGTTCATTGCAAATTATTTTCCCTGAAGATCTTAATCACTCAATATTTAACCCAAATGAGAGGCTGACATTTCATTCAGCTTCAGCGTTTCCATTACTTCTTCGATGAATGTCTACTAATGACATCAGGTGTTACACAGCCAAATGACTGCAATTGCATTTACCACAGACACGGCGTGTTTAACTTAAATCATACAAATACACAGTAAGTGAATGCTTACAATTAATGTTCTAATGCCAGAAACGTTAAGTATCCTGTTTTGCAAAAGAGAAAGTGTGTCATTTAGAGCAACTAACATTGCGTGACTCCAGTAATGCACTTCATGAATCGGATACTCACAGCTGTGCATCTCAATACGGCATGTCTGGATATCCATTGGGAAGTTTGTGAAGTCATATAAACAGTCCAGCCTGACGGACAGCCTGCAAAATCAAATTGATGAATTGTACATTTATATCACAAAGTACCCATGAAGTCGGGTTTTTGTAAATGGTCATAAAGAATTCCAATGTTGACATAAGTTATGAAAGTTTTTTCTCCTGTTTTCAGCAAATGAAAATATGATGTAGAAAAATGAAAAAACTACCACTTAAAACTAGAATGAATTCATAAATATCATTCGGTTTCTGTTTCCCATAGATCACAAATTTCACCATCATTGCTACATGTAGTATTATCGTTGTATCTATAGTACCCGGTATATGTGTCAACAAGGCTTAAGGCTTGTAAAGACCATGATAAACCACAATAAATATCAACCTAGTTTGCAGCAGAGATAAGTGTGAACATATAAATATTATTTTAAAACTTTTTGTTTGAACGCATGCGTGCCAGCTCAAATTAGTCACGATTTTTTTTTTAATACTACACAGAATTTCATTATAAATTAAACCAACTCAATCTGAAGCCAATGTCAAAAACTACGAATACAGCATCACAATAACATCCAACAAAAATCACACTGACCACACGCTGACCACACCACTGACCTTTGAGAATAGAGAATATTACCCTCTTCTGTGACCCTCAGCAATATGTTCGGGGTGGTGATGTCATGCCTCCAGGATTGCTTTTCGTTCGAGAAGAACAAATCCGGCACCCACACGTCTCCTATTGCTTTATCAGAGAGCGTGATCCCGGACCGGTGAACATTATCCGAGAGATTGCTCGTGTTCAGTTGAAGGCGAGGGTCATTCCACATCTGTCGAAGGTAAAGGTTCACGGTGAAATCCTGAAACGAAAAAAAAAATGTTTTTGGTGTATATCTGAAATTATGAATTGTTTGTTCTCAAAATAGCAAAGCCATGGAGTGCAACCATACTTACATATACATGTACCTGCACAAAGCGAGGGCGAGGGCTTGCTATATTCGAGGTAATTGCAATTTAAATGACTACAGAACATACAGCATCATACTAGTGGTAATTGCATGTATGTGTATGGGCTTCCCTGACATTTCTGTCAAACGGAAGTATATCGAACAGTTGAAATAAAAAAATGTTTCAAAATATTTTTCAGCGACATTTACCCTGAGGTAGACGGACTGAAACCCTATTTTTTTAAATAATTTGTACCAGTAGTATAGGGCGTGCGTGTGTGCACGCGTGGTGCGTGTCAGTTGATTATTTGAAGAATAAGGGCATGCTTCTTTCTAATATGACGGTGAAATCATTCTTTCTACGTAGAATGTTCATCACTTTTCGTGAAATTCGCATTACCGATAGCTGCTTCTCAACACTGACGAAGGTATAATGTCATATAACCACATTTGCTTATTTTGCATGTGTTTGGGAGATATGACAGTGCCTTGTTCCTCAGAGACATCGTGAATAACGAGTATCACTCTTAAAGATATTAGGGCAGGTTTTTTGTTTAAACTTAACATGCCAAATTTGACCCAAGAGAAATGCTGTCTGCACCAGATATATATTGACCACTATTGTGGCACTTAATCGCAACGACCATCGTTTAAGGAACAGCTGTGCAACGTTATGAAAGAAATGAGATAACATGTAGGCCTACCATCTACCATAAAAATCCAGGGGATGTAAGTGTCCAGGTCACCTAACGGTTTTTTTCTTTTACGCTAAAAAAGGCAATGTTACTGACCACGCTTACCAAACCTTCATTTACATGTGTGTTCAGTGTATAACTTCAGTGAAATTAAAGCCAAGTGCACGCAACAGATTGAGTGAACCAAACGTAAATTTACAACAGGAAACATTAATTAGTATTAACAAACAGTTTGTTTTTTATTGTGGTCGCAAAAATTCAATTACGTACTCAGAAAAATCTATAAATGAACATGGAAATAAATCAGCAACAGACAGTGTATGGTTTAATGTTCTTGCGTGTTGCCTATATACACTGATGCTCATAAGTTAAGCAACACCCCGATTTTTTCAGAAGTTTCTTCTATCATGATCATTATTTCATTTGTTGGTGGGATTATGCATATTTCTTTCATATTTTATAAATAACTTATTCAAGTTGAATATTTCGGTTAAAGAAATACACCACACAGCTTACTGTAATAATCAAAATAACTTTATTAACCAAACGGTACTAAAATATGCCAAACCATGTGTCAAAAAAGTATGCTCACACAGCAAAAAGTACGTGCTGATTAAAACAGCTTATTATGAAAAAATAAAGTTCGACCATTTAAGAATTAGTTTTAATAAAAGAAGACTGTAGATAATAGATGATTAATCGTCTATTATGCAATAAATATCGGGTGTGCTTTCCCTGGTTTTGAACAACAGCTTCACATTGTCTCCTGCAACTTGCCACCAAATTCTGCCAATCTTGCTTAGGGAGCCGGTTCCCTTCTTCAGTTACTGCATGCTGGACCTCTCTAATGTTTCTAACTGGAGTTTGTCTCTCATTTACTGCCCTGTCAATCATATCCTAAGCATGTTCTATTACATTGAGAATTGATAAATATGCAAGCCAATCCAAATATGGGATACCGCGCTGTTGCAGCGCGTCTTGCACGGACCATGCTTTCTGGATGGGCGCATTGTCCTGCACCAAAATGGTTTTTCTTTCTGGATTTGCTTGAATGTGTGATTGTATGCACCCCAATGGTATTTCGTCTCTGTATTGTTGACCAGGGCACCTCCCTTGAATGACGTACGGTGGCAATTTTTCATTGTTTGGCTGATATGAACTGGTCCTGGTGGCATAATCGAACCAGATATCTTCATCTCTTGCGTCGGTTAATATTGGTCTACCAGAAAGAGGCTTGTCCAATACATAACGAGTTTGGCGCCATTTTGCTACCAGCTTGGACACTTGACTTGGTGCTGCTTTTTTGTTGCCTTGCAATGTGTCTCTTTGGCACCCCAGCACGATGACTTCCCATTATTTGCCATCTGATTACCTCGTTGAGTCCTCTTCTAACCATTGGTTGGTCCAAAATAACAAATTGTGCCCATGAAACTAGCCAAACTGGAAGCTCCTCATGGCATGGCCAAACTGTGTTTTTCGCAAGTGGCACCCCCATTGCATATTCTATCGTGTCCAACAGTAAATAGCACTCTAATGTCACGGTCCAGTAAGTCAAAGTAAAAACAAAAGAAATATCTAGCTACTGTACAAATTTTGCCTCAATAAAAATTTTGGTTGCTGAGAAATTCGAGAAATAAGAAAGTGTTGCTTAACTTTTGAGCATCAGTGTAAATATGACACGCTAATGAAGTTAAGCGCCAAGGCTTTTTACCAATTTGCAACCAAGACATATGTCTTCCCAATAACTCGATGAAAAAGTTTTTCTTATTGTTTCTTGCATAGTGATGACAAAAAAAGTAGATTTTGTCTTAACAGACTAATGTTTTAATACCCTAAGGTCTAGAGCTCACATCGACCAGTCAGTTACGTGATCCCTATAATATGAGGCGTCAAAACACCATTCCTCATAGGTAAAATTAAACACGTTTAGTCTCTTAAGATACCATTGACTTTTTCATTACTACCCGATAACTGTTCTCTTCACACATACATTATCTTGCGCATTTGTTGAACAGTTGAGAGATTTGTCTATGCAGGGCCCATGATACTTCTTTGTCATTTAAGTCACTGAAGTGGCAGTTGGAAAGGTGTTGAATATAACACTTCTTAATGTAAAATCAACATAAGAAAAAATAAACACTTGGAAATGATTCGTTCTCGAATAAACATGTCTTGGACACATTGTTTTTTTGGAAAATTTATCCTTATCGAGTTTCTTTTAATTTATCAATTAAAAGATAAGCGTTAGAGTGATTGTCCGCATTCTGCGTGACAAAGTAAAAATAAAACCTGAGCGTGAAATAAAAGATAAAAGTGCTGGCGCAAACCCTAAAAACAAAACTTTTAATATTAGCTTGCCCAGAGAGGTTATAATTCAATTTTTTCATTGGGAACATCAGTTTACTTTGCAATAATTATCTGATTCGTTTCTCGGTAAAACGAGATTTTGTAAGAGAAATGCATTATTCGATCCAAATTCGCCTTTAAGATATTCCTGGATTGGTTGTGATAATGATTCGTCTACCCTTTACTGCACAAAACTGTTATCTGTCTTAATATGCTTAAACACAAATTACCATCACATTTAAGGTCTCAGATGCCGCAAACGGTATCAGGACAGTTTCCCCCCGGACAATTCCCCGCCCCCCCCCCCCCCGGACTATATACAAATATAAAGTAAAGAGTACAAAGTTCAAACCTTTTCATCCATTTTCTGAATATTTCTTAGTGTGATGATGCAAATTTATCATTTTATTAAACAATTTATTTTCATGGAGTATAAGTACATGAAATTTTCGAGATAGAAGTACAGAACATTTTATTAAAAATCTGATCAAAGAATATATATCTCCAGGTAAAGGAGGGGTATCTCACTCATCCAGGTAGCACTTTGATGAATTAACTGTTACTTTTTAATTGCTTTATTTCTCCCCCCCCCCTTGATTCAGTAAGTCTTGAATCAAGGTGCATCTCTAGGGAGAGGTGGGGTAAAGAGATTTTCTCGCTTATCCAGGTATCCCTGTGACTATTTGTCACTTTTAATTGCTTGACTACCACCCGCCACACTAAAATATTTATAAAATATCTGTTTACCTGTTCATCTGTTTACCCCACTTTTACCTGAAGGATAGGTGGTTATACTTCGATTAGATACTTATCTATATATCTATTGATAAGATACTTAATAAATCTTTCTGTACTTGTACTTAATGAAAAGGGAATTTGTTATAAAATAATTTGTTTCATGATGAAGTTACATTATCACACTAAAAATATTATAAAATGGATGAAATTTTTAAACTTTACACTTTCTACTTTATATTTGTATATAAACAAATTGTCCGGAGGGAATAGTCCACATGTCGACACGCGGTTTTGTCACACCCAAGTCAGTTGGATTAGACTGTAAACACATTTGCACATAATAAATAGTGTCTATTCTCTTCCGTTCCGAATGCAATTAGTGGAAAATGCCTATCTGGTATATTATGACCTTTGCTTTAATGCCCACCCTGGGACGACTTTTTACGGCAATACAACCCAACTGGCCATTAGTTATTGCCCTCGAAAAGGATGAAGATGACGTTCTGATGACTACGTGTCCAATAATTAGGTAAACGTGTTCTATTTATCATCATTATGGGCGACATCACCCTGAGTTTCACTGGCTGTCACTGGAACCTCGCAAGTTTAGCAAAGAATAAAAAATCACAAACACCGTTGTAAACCTTTTTGAACCTTCTGGAACCCCGACATGACATTTGTTCGATTATAACAGGCGTGTCCTTGAAAATGTCCAAAATAAAAGTATATGTAAACCGAATATACATGTACAGTACCCATTTATCCATTTCACTTTCTTTGTTTTGAGGTAGTTTTTTTAGGAGAAAAATATAGTCAAATCATTAACATCGGATATCGGCGCCAGAGAGATTGTTCCAGGTCTTTACGTCAATTCTAAAGTGCGCATCGACCTCCCTGTTCTATCGAGTTTTAGATTTTAAAAATGCACAAACAAATAAGGTAATTTCAAGTAAGGTTTTGTTAAGTGAAGATACCTTTAGAGCAATAAGTTCAGACTATTCTTTGGAAAATAGAAACATTGAAGACAGCACATCAAATTTCCACACACAGTCTCTATCAGTTTTAGTACAGTTAGCTGTACAACAAACAATGCAGCAAACATTACAAGAAATAGAACGAGGATGGTAAACAACTATAAATAGGACGTTGACCCTTTTTACGCTTAAAATTGCTGGCTGTCTTATTTTAACACACTGCGAGTTTCAATTAATTGCCGCAGCACACCCTAATATCCATTTTCTATCGGAAAGCTCTGGGTGTGTGCTGGGTAGAATAGAGGAACTTTCAGTATTGACTCGCGGCTTAACAGTGCTAGCGTAATTCAACATCACACATAATATCACTAAAAATAACAAACTATACAATTGCAGTCACAATATCAATGAAACCGTTTGCAAAACAAGTCCCACAATGGGACCCCCCATTATAACTTAATCGTTAATGGGTATTATGGAGGTATTATAAGAAGCTATTTTTCATGCATATGTCAAATGACAAATTAAGCTGATAGGATCCAATTGCCCAAGGTGAAAAAAATCGCCAATTACCACATCGCATCAGTAGGTCAACTCTTACCATTGCTGCTGCATTGAATTCACTGAAGGAGTTGATCGCCAAATTGACTTTCACAGCGGTGGGGATTTCTGTAAAGAAATTGGTAAAATGCCGACAGATTATTTCCTGCAGGATCTGGCAATGGTGTTAACACACCCCACATCCAGATAACAAAGATGCTTAAAATGGTTGGAAGGTTTAAAAATAAATGTGTAATAAAGAGGGGGATCAAAACGCATTCTTTTTTCCTAGAACAATAAAAAGAAGTTAATAAGACGCTTTTCATGCAGTTTTATCGTAGAATCTTTTACATTACCAACACAAAGACGTTTAAATCTACATTTTGGCAATGTAATACAAATTCTGTTTCATCTATACACCTACAGTCTTGATAAAATTGTTTCACAAAGTCACCAAACATAACCAGAAAGCAGCCCCATAATAACGATCCCAAGCAAGTGCACACAAGGAGCTCTTTTGGCATGAATTGAAAATTGGAATAATTCAGTGCGGAATATATCATGGTATGACGGAGCGCTTAGATAGGTATCTACAGACAACAAAACTTGCTGTCTAATTGATTGAATTAGGGGACGGCAATGTTGCATTTGATACGATCAATGGAATACTCTACATGATAAATACAATTACGATATTGGCGTTAAACAACATCTTTCCATTTAAGAACAGTTTGTAATACAGCCTCACAAAATGTGTTTAACCATTTGGTTTGCTGTAAAAACGAAAAAAAATAGCACAATACCAATAATACAGCAATACTAACATGAATGTTTAAAATACATGCAATTAGCAGAGGATAAAAAAATCATAAGACGATTAGCACTGCATTTTCTGCCTTAAAAGCATTATATACATATCCATTTAGCTTTCAAAACGGTCAATGAGTGTAAAGTGTAGAGATCATGCTGTAGTATTAGTGGGCTGTTTGTCGTTTACTTGTCAAAACGCTATCTAAATGTTACATTTACTGTTCCGACATGCGAATCCTAAAATCGATACTAAAAACGCCTTTCTGTGCATGTCGCAAGCTGCAGAACCAAATGGAGTCCGTCAACTTCCCCTGTTTTCATCGTTCATCAACTCAAACACTAATGAAACCATCTGCGTATAATAATAAGGTGCGGACTGTTAAGTGAAACAAAGGGATATCAGTCAACCAAATTCATTGACCCTAAAAGCATTATGATATAACGCAATCATCGTCACGTTGTTTTCTTGTAGTTTGGGTCTATTAGAAAGCGTGGCCAGATTGACGCATTTCCCAACACGTACAGATGACAGGAAATTAAAAGGCAACTTCATCACTGAGCTACATAAATGGTCAAGTAATTGGATGCCACATAAAGTCCACGATAAATCAATTCGATTATTAAATGGCGATGGCAAAATGTGTTTTTGTGACTCTTCACAAATTATTGGATGATTCAAAAAGCGTCCGAATGGATATCATATGTCAAATTGGAAAAAAAAAGCCACAATTGAAATTTATAAGATCTTCGTCTTGTTATTATATTTTCAGATTGAGTAACTAATTTATCTGACCAGATATAAACGTTTAATACTTCTCTTTGTTTGCAAGATTCTGAGCGCAGTTGTATATCATAATAAACAACACAAACATTACTTGGAGGCATTTTACTTTTATCACTGCAACAGTGTAGACAACATTAGGGTATGGAAAACTGCACCTCTTTAAATATAAACAACTTGACACAATGGCCATGGTATCATGATCATAGAAAAAGATCCATGACTTCTTTGAGGGCATTAACAAAGAGCAAATTTATAAAGGATAAGTTTGTGCTTGGAACATCTGTTCATGTTTGTGCGTGGGGCGTGTTTGTTGGTGCTTGCAGGCGTTCTTGTCGCTTTGTTTACGTCCCAACCTCATCCCCAACCCCGCCAAGGCTTACAAATGCGCATTCCATCACAGCTCGTCATGCTGACGGCCTTACCCTTATGCAGATGAGGGCGTATCCTTCGGTCGTAATCATTGCTGAAGGTGATGTGGTCCAGGCTCAAGAGAGCATCCCTTTTTAGTTCGTATGATGACCTGAAATATGACAAGGCAATTCACAGACAAATGTTTTAGTTTTAATTTGAACCGCATAATCATGGCAATAAAATCATTAGACATTTTACACACACACACACACACACACTACAGGAGATGCTACCACAATTATTGCAACATGTCGAACATAAATGCAAAATAAGAATTGTATTTCACGAGTGTCTAAGTCCTCTGAAAACATAAAGGCCCAAGGTCTAACAAGACTAAAACAATTGTGTTTGTTTGCCAGCATCAGTTATCAGTGTGGTAGCCACGAATTCACAGTATGACCGCCATCCATCTTTGCATGGACACGTCGAGGCAATGTAATCTTTAAAATCATTTTTCCAATCTCTGACTACAACAAAGCATTCTTGGTCAACGCCTGTAACTGAGACCCCATGCTTCTACTGAATTAAGGCACTTTTTGCAACAAGGAGTCTCTCTGCAGACACCATGCCTTCTGGCAATTTTTGCCTCTGAGATTCGCTCCTCCCGTAGGGAGCCGTCTTCCTGGCATTACCTTTTTTTGTTTCAGAGAACGAAATTTTGGACAAGTCCCTCAAGTGAAAGACGAACAAATAATCGACTTTGGTTACAATGCAGACGATTAGAAACAGCGTTTTTTTTTCTCTTCTAGACAAGTTGCAATACATGCACCAAGTTTCAAGTCTATTGCAAATAACATTGCCTCATTTGAGTAAAACAAATTTTGACAATCATGCATAATGTTTCGCGTTTTTGGCTTTCATGTTTCTAGTTAAATTTCACTAAGTGCCACCTGGGGCCTTTGGGTTCTTGTGACAAATATAACCGCAGCTTTCGATCAGTGCAAATCGCATCAAATAAACTAAAACGTTCATCTTTCTCTATGGTTAAACCGCAATCAGTCAGCTATGCAAGGTAGAAGATGAAAATGTCAAGTTTAAAACACATAATATGTAGAAAAGCAAACAAAATTTCCCACTGGTAGGCTATTTGCTTGAAGGCCTACGCTGCCAAGACTAGTGGGTCTTAGAAAAAAAATTCCAATCAATATGAGACGGGGGCGCTCACAGGTGCGGATGGTACTTTCTGAGATTCTCCCGCTGGCAAAGATAAGCACCCGGAGTTTGGGAGCTTTCTGAAAACTCATCTCCATTATAGAGGTGGGTATCTAGTCAGCTATGAAAGTCAGGGTGACGATAGGATGCTCAAAGAGGCGTTATCTTGCTTCTGACCTAAGTGACCATATAAAACACAAATACAAGTGTTCGTGTGTGAGCGTGTGCACGACGTTTAATTATCAAAGCCGAATACGAAATACCCATCTCTCTCTCTCTCTCTCTCTCTCTCAATGTACATGCAAATCCGTCTTACATCACAGCACCAACATACGTTTAGAATGAGACAGAAAGCACCCCATGGTGCATCGAGTGTAAAAGGAAATTATGACTTGAACAAATTTGTCCGGTACTTAAAATCCGACCGTGCGGATGAATCTCTGCCACCCCATGCAGTAACAAGAACATCGGGCGGAACCATGTTAGCTATCGATTGAAATCTGAAACATACATGTGAGGTGCATTTTCCGTCTGGCATCAAACTCATTACACTGAAGTCTGTATGCTAACGAGTCTTAGTCTTCCCCACTGCTGAATCAAGTCAACAACAAGGGGAGAGAGGTCGCAGTTTCAGGTTGGTTGGATTGTTTTCCTGCGATGAGAAGTCGTGATCACGCGGTGGTAAGTTAGGCCGCCACAGTTGGACTGTAAATGATCCTTGACACCCTTCTGGTTTTCACACCCCACGAGATGCTGGGTGTCCATAGAGACGTTGTACATTCAATATATGAATTACGGGATTACTTAATGATTGGCCAGTCACTGTTATAGCCGACTGTCCTCATTTCCCATAACATTTTTCTCGAGTCCGTTACATATGAGCTTGCATAAAGTTCCATGATAAATTACATTATAGGCAAACCTACGGCCAAAACCTGGTTTCAAGGGCATAAACTTTGTTTTGTAATATTTGGTAATAAATTAGATAAATTACCAGTCAAGTAATATCTAGAAACTTCATATTCTCCATACATTACATACGTATGTATGTACATGAATATCATAATTGTTGTTGACAGGAGATAAAGCCATTATCTTTAAATGTATGCGACGAATGATTATGAATGATGTATTTACTACAACGTGTATGTCCCGCATTTAATTCACATTAAATTGGATTTGCAATTTAGGGCGTGCGGGTGATATGATTAACAGAAACAATTGATGCACTGTACTCGTGTATTCTGTTTCACTGAAGTGGGATCCATCCAAAACAAAGCAGATGCAATACAGAAAAATGAAAACGGACTTTCCATTCGTAATAATGTTTTAACCACGTTGCAATTGATCTTGCAATGTTGCACTCACTGGCGCCCATGTCCTCATCTACACTACGACCACCCGGATCACGTACTTCTCTTCAATAAAGTAGACCTACTTAATGCCCCTATTTCACACAGCCAGGAATTGACAAGATTCAGGATTCGTAATCAGTTCGTGAAGTTCTTAACATATTCGTATATATTCGTAGTCGGTTCTTGCATTTCTTGATCAATCACGAAATGATTACGATTCAACCACGAATCCTGAAATTTGTCAATTCCTGGCGATTCGTGGTCTGTGTGAAATAGGGGCATAAAACAGAAGCGCAATTTGTTCTTCGTGTCAACAAAATTGGACTGTACTCGAGCAATTAGGTTTGTATCTGTAGCAATATAAAAGCATATCCTCTGTCAAAACGCAAACGAACTGCGCAACACAAGCGTCGTAATCACATCTGACGATAACAGAGAGAAATAACGCTACTTGGATTCACATCATTCTTCTTATTCACAATCTATTTTGCCTTCTTGATTAATACAAATTCCTTTAACTTATTAACACCCCGGGTTGATATTGATCCGTGTGTATCAGGAAGGTTTGTGCTTGTGCTTAAATGCATTTTTCATGACAACATATGGAGAAATCCAGCCTAGGTTGCGTTCACGAGATTACAACAAGTACTGTTGCTCAGTATATCTCTAGGTAGTACGATGGAACGAAAATTACTACTACGTTATACCCCGCTTAATTCCCCAAGTCACGCCATGAGAGATGTGAAGTGTAATTACATGTAACTGATTGCGCAAGCTTCCGGCGAGATGCAGACGCTTTTATTTATTTATTTTCATTATTCGAACGCCACGTCACAAAAAACTCAAATCGGCAAGAAAGGAAAATTAATTAAAAGATTAAAAAATAAAGCAACCCAATTAGCAACTTAATATCGATACATGTTCACAGTTTCGACGTTTAGATGTATATTTTACGCTGCACCAGTATATGTATGCATATTTTTGTTTATGTTCATTATTTATGTTTTCACACCGCGAGTTCGAATAAAGGAGTTTACCACTAATTTCATCATTGTGCTTTGGTTTCCTCTCTGGATTTGACGTGCCGATATACCAAATAGTAAATACACATAACAATCAGAGATGCGTTCCGGTATCTACCGATACATTTCATTTCCAATTAGGCGCTGATTAATTTGACATCTACACAATGGGCACAACATGCAAAAATTAATCCACAATCTTTGTCATATTATTTTCTTGTGCGGCAAGCGATTATGTGCTGCCTACATGTACATGTATGCCTCTGATTAATACATATACATGTAGTAGGTCTCTCGTGTTGACAGGTTTCATTCAGTATTGTTATCTGTACATCGACGTTCGTCTGAACATGATAGCATCCACACTTAATCACTCACCCACTGCAAAATTTATAACTTCAGCCTTTTTATATTCATCAAAAAATGCTGCCCACCTCAGTGATTTCATATATATTTTCATTGTATTGCCAAACAGTACAAATTTGATTCTGTGGCGCAAAACGACAGAAGAACTTACTTGTTTCCATGGTTGTCCGCCAAAGAGTTTCCCAAGTACGTGAGTACTATGAAAAATGACATAACCTCCACATTCAGCATCATCAGTTATCCTCCTGTTCGCGCACGAGTTAGATAAAGCTTTCTTCTGCGACAAATCATCGGACGGCTGATATTTTGACCTTAACAAAGCTACTGAACGAACGCGGGTACATTTTCTTAGACGCGCTTTCCCAATTTACCAATTACATCAGAGTCACGGGATGAAAATACGTTTCAGTATTGTTTAACCAAGAGGGCTCACTTCTGATTTCTTACAGCAAGATGTTGAATACTCATATGGATGTAAAGAGGCGGGGCTCATTCCTGAAACAGTAATTGGACGTCGAGGACTGACGTGACAGCTGACGGTGTAATGGGGCGGGGTTAATAGTAATATTTACATATTCTGGTCACATGCTCTGAGAAGTGCTTCTCTTGCGTTGTCTAGTATATCTGACTTGCGTTTTGTGCAACGTCCAATGGGTAAGAAACCTAGGACATATAATTGAAACATGCAATTGTAATTTACAGATGTTATCCAAAACCCAATGTAATAATCTATCACGCAGTATGAGTCAGCTGAAAAACCCAAACTTCAGTTAAAATCCCCCGTCATTTTGATTTTTTTTTTTATTTTAGAAAATTCCCTTGATGAGTTTCATTTACAGACACATCCAAGACTTTACGTGTAGACTCGGCAGTCTGCCCGGGTTGATTGCCGAGCTTATAAATCAATCAGTTAAATACACAACAAGGAAATGCCTCCTTTCAATTGAAAATGATATTAAGGGATGTGCATGGGAATAAGATAGGTTCATTTAATTAAGTTTTATACATTATCATGAAACAACGAAAATTACTCATATTTAGAGCAATTCTCCTTTACTTTGGGGATTCGTAATATTGAATATAGCTTACCGGCACTTCAGATTATTGCCTAACCTCTATACTAATACAACGTGTAACTACATGTACTTGAAGGTGCCTGTTGGCCGTTCGATTTTGTATACCCTCGAGCCTCTTTATCTCTCCTGGCATATTGTACATGCCAAAAAACGGGGTGCGATGTGGGCCAAATATTGCCTCGCCATCGTCGATATCTTGGCGTAGGTACAGGGACGGGTGACTCGAGGGTATGTGCCCGCCCCCCTTCTTCCTTAATTGGCCCAAGGGGGAGTTTTCTCTCCCTTTTCGGGGTTCCTGGAAGCAATGGATCTCGGAAATGTTAGGGCAAAGATGGTGAAATGGGATGCTCCTTTTGCATAAGTAAACCATGCTTCTGAGTGTGCCTCCCCCACCCACATTACCCCAACCTGTCCTTCAGATTTGCCATCGTTGTCCATTTAAAGCCCATATGAAATGCGATGCCCGTACGGTGCACGTATACTGCCCGTAATACTCTTTCGTACGGCGTCTTCATCTCAGGAGCGGAGGTAGACGGTGGCCGTGCTAAATCACATATAATCGTACGGAGTTAAGGCCATGCAATGTAGAAATACTCGGCGTAGCCCGAAGCTCATTACAATTTCAAAAAAAAAAAAAAAAAAAAAGTACGGACAATTTCATCGCACGGCACCAGTGTAAATGTAATCTAGTCATAAAAAGAATAATGAGATCCATTTTTCCAAAAGACAAACCACCCTAAAACGTTTTTCAAAAATATATGTGAAAAGCGCTCATAATTAAGTACGTCTGTTAAGATACTTAATAGTATATTACATAAGCTTCAAATTGTCATTGGTGCGGTTGTGCCCTTAGACAGAAGTCGCAACAAACGCAATGTCAAACTACTCATCATCTCTCTGTTGCATTCGGTATTACTTTATATATGCGAGGAATCTAAATATGATTGGTATTCATAGTCGAGTAGCCAGAACGCTAACCCTGCAATGTTTTTTCCTGTAAACTTTTTTTGCTGAAATGCATTCTTTAGGTCGAGAGAAGCAAAATTAGCTTGGTTGCTATTTCCGAGACCTTGAGCATTTTTCAATATGGCCGTCAATTTATGAGGAAAAAGAAAAACGNCTTGTGCGGCAAGCGATTATGTGCTGCCTACATGTACATGTATGCCTCTGATTAATACATATACATGTAGTAGGTCTCTCGTGTTGACAGGTTTCATTCAGTATTGTTATCTGTACATCGACGTTCGTCTGAACATGATAGCATCCACACTTAATCACTCACCCACTGCAAAATTTATAACTTCAGCCTTTTTATATACATCAAAAAAATGCTGCCCACCTCAGTGATTTCATATATATTTTCATTGTATTGCCAAACAGTACAAATTTGATTCTGTGGCGCAAAACGACAGAAGAACTTACTTGTTTCCATGGTTGTCCGCCAAAGAGTTTCCCAAGTACGTGAGTACCATGAAAAATGACATAACCTCCACATTCAGCATCATCAGTTATCCTCCTGTTCGCGGCGCACGAGTTAGATAAAGCTTTCTTCTGCGACAAATCATCGGACGGCTGATATTTTGACCTTAACAAAGCTACTGAACGAACGTGGGTACATTTTCTTAGACGCGCTTTCCCAATTTACCAATTACATCAGAGTCACGGGATGAAAATACGCTTCAGTATTGTTTCACCATCGATTAAGAGGGCTCACTTCTGATTTCTAACAGCAAGATGTTGAATACTCATATGGGTGTAAAGAGGCGGGGCTCATTCCTGAAACAGTAATTGGACGTCGAGGACTGATGTGACAGCTGACGGTGTAATGGGGCGGGGTTAATAGTAATATTTACATATTCTGGTCACATGCTCTGAGAAGTGCTTCTATTGCGTTGTCTAGTATATATCTGACTTGCGTTTTGTGCAACGTCCAATGGGTATGAAACCTGGGACATGTAATTGAAACATGTAATTGTAATTTACAGATGTTATCCAAAGCTCAATGTAATAATCTATCACGCAGCATGAGTCAGCTAAAAAACCCAAACTTCAGTTAAAATCCCCCGTCATTTTGATTTTTTTTATTTTAGAAAATTCCCTTGATAAGTGTCATTTCCAGACACATCCAAGAGTTTACGTGTAGACTCGGCAGTCTGCCTGGGTTGATTGCCGAGCTTATAAATCAATCAGTTAAATACACAACAAGGAAATGCTTCCTTTCAATTGAAAATGATATTAAGGGATGTGCATGGGAATAAAATAGGTTCATTTAATTAAGTCTTATACATTATCGTGAAACAACGAAAATTACTCATATTTAGAGCAATTCTCCTTTACTTTGGGGATTCGTAATATTGAATATATCCTACCGGCACTTCAGATTATTGCCTAACTTCTGGACTAATACAACGTGTAACTACATGTACTTGAAGGTGCCTGTTGGCCTTTCGATTTTGTATACCCTTGAGCCTCTTTATCTCTCCTGGCAGATTATACATGCCAAAAAACGGGATGCAGTGTGGGCCAAAATATTGCCTCGCTATCACTGATACTTTGGCGCAGGTACAGAAGGGGAAGGGGGCTCGAGGGGTATGTGCCCGCCCCCTTCTACCTTTATTGTATTTCCTGCCCAAGTGTGAGTTTTCTCTCAATCCGTTTTCAGGGGTTCTGGAAGAAATGGATGTCGGAAAAATTTGGACCAAACAAAAGTGCAAGCTGATGCCTTTTTGCCTAAGTTAACCATGCTTGTGCAACTGGGAGTGTACCCAAGCATCTCCGAATTTGCCCTGCCTTCGCTGTCAATTTTTAATTAATTATGAAATTCTTTTCCTGAAATGCAGAACGACCCTAAAACGTGTTTCAATGTATATGAAAATTTCGTTTATAATCAAATACGTCATAATTAAGCTTCAAATTGTCATTGATGTGGTTGTGCCATTCGACAAAAATCACAACAAACGCAGTGTCAAACTACTCATCACCTCTCCATGAGATCGGTTTTCGTGTAGCAAATCAGTATTGTTTTATACATGTGAGAAATTTAAATATGATTGATATTCAATTGGGCTATCAATAATGGTATATTTAAATTTTCAAGTAACGAATTGTTTAAGAAATGATAAGAAAAGTTTGCCATTTTAATTTATTCACTTCCATGCAGTAATCTCATCGCTTGCTGTTACAACGTTGACTTCACTCTCGTATCATAATCTATGGCCTCTACACCACTTAAACAATTGCCTAGCCAAGACTCTCAGCTATATAAGATCGCCGGTAAAATGCTACTTCAAACGCTTTTCTTTTGACCCAAAAAGGAAAATCTACATTTTTGTTCACAAGTGTTCACACATGGCATCTCTTTTGTCTACAAAGGGTAGCCTATCTAGCACACTTTGCATACACCCATCTCGCGTGAATGTAGCTCCGAGATGAACATAGGCTTCACAATGGGGAATACCCGCTTTAAGGGTCTGCCGCTAGATGGCGTGGGGGTGAAAGCAGTCCTTCTTAAATCTCGCAGAATCTCGCTCACGGCTTAACACCAGAGTTTAACATGGAGCGTGTGCACGCGTCGCTGACAGTGAACCAACTCAAACGCAATTTACTTGAATGTGGTGCCATAACATCTGGATGAAAATGTGAATTGACTGAAAGGTATGTGTTTTCTTTTCATTTTGAAAAACACGAATGCTAACTATTTTCCTTGAAAAAAATCGAACATTAGTCGAGGTGTGTGTGTCAAATCTGACATGTTATGTACATGTAGACTACTGTAGGTACGAGTAGGCCTACGCTCATATTTTGTTTTAGTAGCACGAAAGACGAAGATTTTTTATACTTAGTAAATGAACTTATTTATTTTCTTTATAATGTTACCCAAAGAATATCACCAATCCTTATAGGGGCATATATACACACATAGATAGATTTTTTTATCTAACCGTCTCCAAGCAGATACAATATTAAACAAAACAAAACAAAAAGTAAATTACATATACAGTTAATCCTCCGACCTTTCCGTCTCCGACAACATCAAACATCTATGGGCATAATTAGCCATTGTATTAATGTCACCCGTATTGTTAAAGAAAGACGTAATGTCTGAAAAGTCTAGCCTATTGTAGTCTTCTCTTAACTGTTTCGTTTTTTGACAGAAACAAATTACATGCTCTTCCGTCTGAACATCAGTTCCACATGTACACAGTCTCATATTTCTGGGGCGGCGTGACCATCTCCCCGTTTCAATAGCTAAACTATGAGCACTTAGCCGTAACCGGGAACAGGCTATCCTGTCCCGTTCCCTGAGACTGTATGATGAATACATGTCGTGTATAGACAAGTTAGGATTCATCTTAAAGTATGTAACAGATTTAATTCTGGTTGAATTTCTAATTCGATTCTTTAATTCAGCTCTATTTGCTTCTATAATGTTATTAGAGTTAACCACTTTGGTCAGATATCGGGCTCCCCTGGTGCCGTTGTCGTTACAAAGCCGCCACACATGCATAAAAGGATCGTCCACCATGCCAGATCGTGTCTGAAGAATCTTAGTCATATAGGATCTTTGTGCAGCGCGTACCCTGGCGCTCAGTTCGGGTATTCCTAATTCGGCTAGTATTAAGTCATTAGGAGTGCTCTGCCTGACACTTTATAAAGTTTTAATAATTGCGTAATAGGACGACTGAGCTGTTTTATAAGTTGAACATAACCAGGATTCACAGCCATACAGCACCGAAGATATCAATGCTGCTTCCATGACCTTTTTTCTTTATAGGAAATGGGAAGTCCGCATTTTTCGAAATAAAAGACGCAAACTTTAAAAGTTGAGACTGTTTTGTGGAAATTTGTTGTCTGACCGCTTCAACGCAACCGCCAGTCTGACTAAACATTACCCCTAGATATGTATACACTTTACAATTTTTAACCGATACATCTATAGCTGTCAAAGGTATCTTATCTCGTTCTTCCCCATTTATCACCATAAACTCCGTTTTGTCATTGTTAATCACCATTCCGGATCTCTGGCAGAAATTAATCAGAATATGTAATTTTCTCTCAGCCATCTCTCTACTAGTGGCCAGAATGACAGTGTCGTCCATTAGTAAGAGGCAATGTAACCAACCCAAGAAACCATCATGAGGTATTAAAGGCCGTAGGTCTCTGACGAACTCGTCGATATATAGGGTAAACAAAAAACAACTAGATGGGCTGCCTTGGCGCACGCCGAACGTCGCAGTAATCACAGTGGCTCCTAGTATGAATTTAGTATCATTATATAAAGCAATAATTGCACTAATCATAGCCATGCCGCACCCAAGGCGGCATAAAGATCTAATCAGAGCTTGTCGTGGAATTCGATCGTATGCTTTAGAAAAATCGACGAACACAATAAAAAAGTTTTACTTTTTTGCATAATGCATAGTAAATAAGCAGTCTGAGGCTTAACAGTTGTTCTATGCACCCTCGTCCTTTCTGAGCACCCGCTTGCTCTCGCGAAGGCTTGAACCATTTTTCAAGTCTAGAACACAAGACCGCATCATACAATTTTCCAAAAGTATCCATAATGGAGATCCCACGATAGTTACTGCAATCCAATCTTGTGCCCTTTTTAAAGATAACACTTAGGCGGCTATACGCCCATCTCGATGGGACTGTGGCACTAGAAAAAATCCAGCTGAAGAACGAAGCTAGGAATATAATCCACGTGTCCGGCAGAGCTTTTACCACCCCTGGGGGTATGCCCGATGGACCCCCGCTTTTATTTGGCTTCACTGTTCTAATACAGTCTGACACCTCGCGGGCTGATATTGGCTCGTCTGTTATCGGTATGTATGGATACGATGCTTCGGTTTCGATGAACAATGGTTCACGGTTATCCGTACTCAAGAGTCCCTCGAAGTGTGTTTTAAACTGCTCATCTGTGGGCGTGTCGTTGTTCGTTTTTGTATTGTCAGTAGCGCCTTTCCAACTAATTGCTTGCCATACCGACCGACTGTCTTTACTATTCATTAACTTGGACCATCTACCCTGTGGGTTTTTGCATTGGTCGTTTTGACGCTCCGTTTCCGCTACACGGTTAGTTTTAGATATCCTGCATGCCGTTCGCATAATATTGTTGACTCCCTCTGATATCTCATTAATTCCAGCACTGTCCATCGTCGGTGGCGGTACAGATAGCAGAAAATTTGTGAACTTTTGTTTGTTCATATCATTCCACTTAAAACTTTGCTCATTATACCGACGTATTCTCTGCTGTAAAAACTGATCATATCCGCCTAAATTTTTAACCCGCTGTAATAGACATTTTAAGCGAGTGCTGGGCGAGTTCCATTTATTAGAATCAAAAGTTACTATGATTGGCGCGTGGTTGGAAGGCAGATTCGTGTCTTTAAGCACATTAAAGTTCACCGTTGAAGGGATAATTGCGGACGACACAAAACAGTGGTCTAACTCCGATATCCAGTTTTCACTCATTCTAAACGTGAGGTCGTTTGAAAACGTCGTTCGATTGCAATTTTTGCAGTTTTCGTTGTTAAACCATTGATAAGGACAAGAGGATTGAGCATACCTGTCAGTAAATGTGCGTTATCGTTAGGGTATGCTATCTTGTCTTTGGCTTCTGAGTAATACCAGTCATTCTCAGTATTGCTCAAAAATAAATTCCTTAGATATGCAAAGCGACACTTTAAATCCCCCAATAACACCACATGCCGGTTTTTCTCTAATACTGTTTGAATTTCTGAATTAAGATTTCCAATAGAGCTCGTTGAGAAATATGGGGATGATTTCGGTGGGATGTATCTAGAAATGAATGTAACATTAGGAAATAACGATATTGAAAAACTTATTTGGTCCGGTTTTAAAACATCCATCGAAGATATCGCTGCATTCAACATTCATACATTATGCAAACAGTCATTTGTCAGAGTCCTATTCAAGGGCTTATCTGTTTGCGGTTGATAATTATAATTAGCGATTTGGAAACTTTACATGAACGTATTCACGGTTGCAGTTATCTTCTTTGAACATTTTGGGCAATTCCTTTCATTTTGAGCGCAATTTTTGCAGCAAGTTATATGGGCACAAGGCAGAAATAAAACGGTTGCATCTTCAGTACAGGACGAGGTGAAACAACGTCTTCTTTCTTTCAGGTCACGATTTTCACGACGCAGTACTGAAAATTATGAATACTTCATTTAAATATACAATTAACGGCCTTAGTGTTTAAACGTAAAGGATGAGTGCTGATAAGAGGGTAAAAGTGCCCACCTTTGTACATGAAAAATAAATTGTGAATGAATGAAAAAAATGATACCAAATCAAAATTAAGGTCTTACACTTTTATGTTCCACTGTAAATTTTTTTAATTTTGAAATATCAAAAATTAATATCAAAATGACCTTGTTAAATATTCATGAAAATGTGTTTTAGGGGAGTTCTGAAATACATTGCTACATTTCTATAGTTGTAGTAAGGTGATAACTGTGAAATTTTGAAATTGGGTACAGAAGGTGCCAGTCTAAAAAAGAAAGGCAATAAGTGGCCAGTCAATGCTTGTGATCAATATTTTGATTGCTTTATTCTTACACGTAGTGTTGATTGAAAGAAGAATCTCACAATGACTTGAGGATAAAAGATGTTAATTTTTTTATATAAGCCCCTGCCTAAGAGAAGCTAATTTTTCATGGTCAAAAAGACATGAATATAAGGTGAGATATATTTGAAAATCAGCTTGTCTCAGGGTTGGGCTTAATATCTACCGAAACTTATTTGGACATTTTCCGTCCATATGCTAGCAGTCAGGCTTCTGATGTCAAGGAGATAAGTGAAAACCTATTGACTTGGTAAATAGTCCAAATGAGAGACCACCAGCCTATAATTAATTACCAGACATTTACCAGATAAAGCAAGCTAGCCACTATACTGATGAGCTTCTGCTAGATGGCCAGTTTGAAATCAGCGTATGCAAGGATGCACCTGATTTAATCAGAGCCAAATACAGTCAAGGCATATACCATACTAAACCAGACCTCCCATACTAAAACTAGATCCATCAGTGGCTGGTGCTGTCAGTGTAAAGTAGGTGCCCAGACAATTGGAAGTGGTGCACATATCACTTCAGATCTGTGGTATATGGGGTTTGCCTTGGGGCAGGGATACAATAGAAAATTATGTTGTGGAGAAAGCTGTTTAGATGCTTCATATTTACCAACATCAAATGATGACAGTATCAGCGAGATAGAAAGTGTTTTGGACAGCACATCTGATTGATTGTCTATTGTTTCTTATTTTTTATTCTCACATTTGTATACTTTGTATAATGTAACTATTGCAGTGCGTTCTATACAAGGTCCATATCACACTTATAATCATATGAAATACTTTTTTTTATGAATTAAGTTCAATGTCATTCTGATTATTAGCCATAACTGTTAAGATGCAAACTTTAATTTTATTCAGTTTTTACTTATACTTTATCATTATTTTGGGAGAATTAATACCTTATTTATTTTATGATCATTGGGAACATTCCAAATAGTTATTTAGAGTGCTATTACAAATGATATTTTTGTTACTGTAACAGCTTTTTGCGATCAGCATTTTTTATATTTCTTTACAGAGCCTTTTACAAAATGTATATTAGTCATCAATTCAATTATTTAGACCAACAAATGCTGGTGTAGGAGAAAAGTTACATAAAATGAATAAATATGCTGAAACAAGTTGTCCTATAGTTACAAGACCTCCATACAGTAGAGTGAAACAGTGATGGCTTCAGTGAGAAAATACCATAATACACCACCCCTCCCTCTCTTCCCTCGGATTGAAAAAGAACAATTTTTTCCCATTTACTTGTGCCACACCACATATATTTTACATATAACTCCTTTTGGCACCACAAGACACGTTTCAATGATTTTAGTAATATATATGCTGAAACAAGTTGCTGTCATTCATTAGACTGCATACAACAGGTAAATCTGGCTACCTCCCCCCCCCCTCCACATACAACTCATTAAAAACACTAATTAACCATGCCTCAAACCAAATAATATATTTTCATGCAACAAATATATGCATAAACTTTATAATAGCCAATTATATTAAAAACTTGACGATGGGCACTTTCCCAATGGTTACCGGCACTCACCCTTTCAGTTGAACTTCTTTTGATCAATGATATATCTTAATGAGAAAAGCTGCTATTAAATGAATGAGAACATCTTAACTTTCCAACATACAGCAATAATAAAGAAGATTTCGTCACGATATTGTTCAAACAACTTTATTTTCAATATTATCAATGTAGGGCATAACGTGTTAGATCTTACCTGATATTTCGTCATCACTATCGTCAGTCTCGTAATCACTTCCCTCTGAGTTCTCTATAAAAAGAGATATTTTAGAGATACAAATGCCCTGAATTGTGAAGTAACAAACAAACCGAAATACGCTCACAATATCAAGTTCTCTTAAAGTGGCATACAAACCGAGGGAGATAGTATCATAGTTTTTGTCTAAAAATATCTTGGGTAATCATCACCATTATACATGTGTATAATATTTTTCAAAACGCGATTTTAACTTCGTTTTTCGTCCGTTCTGTGCGTCAAACGGCTTGCACGCGCACAATTCATCCACTGCGCTCGCACTTTTTACTACTAATACCATCAGGGCTACCTAACCAGAACAAACCAGTGTGGCCATTGCTTCATTCGACGATGCAGGGGAGGATCCAGGATTATTTGAGGGGGGGGGGGGGAATCCGGAACGACAGCCCTCGGATGCGAAGCCTACCATCGCCTCCTTGGTGTGGAGTTAGGGGCCTGCTAAAGGGCCCGAACATTTTCTGGTGCTTTGGAGAGCAAACAGTGCCCTTCGGTACGGTTTAGAACTATGATTTAACTAGTCAAAATACTAATTTCAAGAGGGGAATATTGGTGTGATATATTTTTCAGAAACCAAATGGGGGGGGGGGGGGGGTCAGGACCCCCCACTCTGAATCCATCAATGACATGCTATTGCACTCTCTATTATAATCCTGCTTTTATTCGTGCAAGTTTTGTGTCGTGCTGAGCCCTTCTATTTATCCTTGTCGTGTGCTTAAAAGTTTCTTCTTCCCATCGTCCGCTGCATTAATTTGTTAAATTGCACTTTTCCCGCATTTCTTCCCGCCTGTTCATTCATATCCTAGTGTCTGGGTCACGTGACACGCAAGGTATGTTACAAACGTGGGGTGTAAATGCGATTTTTAGTTCTTTATTTTTACGTACTGGGTGTGTGTTAGACGTTTTAACATTTAAATTAAAAAATTGAAATAGATCTTGTTTTTTGGATAGCCTGGTGTGGTGAAAGTTCTCTTTTTGTGTATCATTTTCACCTAATACCGTTTTGTATGCTGCGTTTACGATGATAAATAATTTTTCCACGAAAGCCAAGACTTTTAAAATATCAGCCAAGTTCAATCCAATCAAAAATTTTAATGCCTAGCATTAATTACCTTCAATCAACATATTTTGTGACTTGACTTACCGGAATCAGAGCTTTGATTATCTTCTTTTCTATTAGCGTGATTTTCTTCTAGGGCAAATATTTCGTCTATTATGATTTCAGCGTTGGGAGGTTCTGGACCTGAATAAATAGCGCGGATGTATAAAAAAGCGTATATGGCATTTTCTAGAATGGCATTTTCTAGAAAATTACTGGAAGGGCTTTCACAAATGACACCCCCTTTTTAAGCAACTCTGTAAGCATCACATTCAAATTGCCCCGTTACCTTCATAAATCACAATAGATAGATTTACTTCAGAGGTTAACGGAAACTACATGCAATAACTTTAAATTACCACATGGACATTTGTGACACAGGTCAAGTAAATTGTTGAAAAATTACCTTTTTCTTTGAACATTTTTTCCAATATTTGCCGAATTACAGCAACATCAAAACCCATTCCTAGAACTGAGCGAACTGCAGGTGACTTCATGGTAGATTCCATGGTCGTTTCCTAATTTAATTTTAATTTAAAAATGGTATACTAAAACACAATGTATGTGACATATGCTAAAAACGACAAACAAAATAAAACACATATCTGATTTGCAATTTTTAAATTATGCGATAAAGAAAATATGCATGAGAAAAAAATAACCCTCACCACTCGGAACAACAAAAACATTATTATAAACTATGTCAGATTCCTACAGGCTTCACTTGTAAAGTGAAGTACATGTAAATTGTACTGTAACGATCAATCCAGTAAAAGGTCTACACATGCAGATCCTGGCCAAATTCTCTTACCTTGGTAGGCGATGATTTTCCTTTCCCTTGGATATCCCTAATGAAGTCCACGCCTTTACATTGTTTGACAAACCCGCATTTAGGAAACCAACGTGCATGTTCTACCCATGGATCATCTCCTTGTGCCCAATTACCTAACTCTCCATTGCAGAAAAAACACTAAAAAGACGAAAAAGTACCATTTAAAATGTACTGCAATATTATGTAATGCGTTTCTTACAGTTTTAAGCGTAAAGTCGATCTAAGACTAGGGTAACATTTTATTGACAATCAATATCATACTTTTATTTGAATGCGTCGATTTTCAAAACAGAAAAATTAACTGTCACGTTCATAACATTAACTTTTGTTCTTGGCAATCTTAGTCTCAGGAAATTAAGTATCGTTTATTATTGCTATTAAACTCATATTTTTGTTCATTCATTTATCTATTAGATCTATCTATTCAATTACCAATCTAAACTACAAATTCTGTGTCATACCTTAACTTTATCATCGTAGCCTGCATAAAAGAATCCAGCGTGTGCCAGTTCTGCAGGAGTCTGGGACTTGCCTCTGGGCCAGTTGGTAAAGGACCCAATTCTGAACATTTTAAAGGCAAAGTGTTGGTTCTTTGGCCTTTCAAACACTATGGGGCTCTCCTCTGAAGGCGCCAGCAGGGTTTCTTGCAAGTTTGACTGGTTGACAAAACTGCAAAGTGGAAAGTGTCGGCGGTGTTCAGCCATTGGGTCTTCCCCGGTTTCAAAGTTGCACATCTTCCCTTGGCAAAACACGCAGCGCACCATGTCTGTTCTTCCAGTGAATACAAACCCTGCTTCTGCCACAGCCTGCGGGTGTATGTCGCTATTTGGCCAATTGACAAACGTCTCTAATCTTGCCCACGTGCCTTGGCGGTAGTAAGAATCGCTTCTAGATTCACATTTAGCATGATCCTCTTCAGGTCTGGGAGAAGGTGTTGATAATATAGGTACATTACTGTTGCTCAGTCCATTGATATAATCGCATGTCGGAAAATGCCTCTTGTGTTCTAACTCTGGGTTGTCTCCCGGTTGCCAGCTCTGCAAACGTCCATTGCAAGAGAAACAAATGACCTTGTCACCCTCCCCAGAATAATAAAATCCTGCTCGGGCAAGACGCGTTGCTCCCACAGGTGCGGTTACAGGCCAGTTTTGAAACGACTTGACCCTCAGCGCTTCATACTGCATATCTTCACCAGGACTAAATGGGGGCCGGTCCATTTTTTAAACGTTCACGTTATCACTAGAATTAGACATTTAATTGACTAGCATATCCCACTTAATGACCCAACAGTGTTTTTGGGTAATATCTGGATAGGGAAAGGGTTTAATCACTTTTTGAGCCGATAAAAAAGAGTTATCGTTGTTATTTTGAATAACATGGATCCATACAAAGTTAGTGGTTAAGTCTCCTGTCCTAAGAAGGGAAATTTTTAAGTGTTTTCGTCTTAGAACGTCGATCGCTGTTAGTTCTGAAATGATGAGAAATCGAAATCATTAATTAATATATCAGGAAAGATCTAATCAACTAAAATCCATCGCGTTCAATACTGTTACTACGCACATACATGAACTTATTTTATTAACCACAAATGTCTCCGGTTTTTCATCCCAATATCTAATCAGTTATGATAATAATAGGGGAGACCGGGGCTAGTTGGACCCGGGGGTAAGTTGGCCCTTGTCAATTTATGAAAAAGTTACTACGGGGTAAAAAATTTGATCATTTTGTAAAGTGACTGTATCCAATAATGCCAGGAAAGCGGCGGTCGTAAAAAAAGTTTTATTTAGGCGGTGAGCCCAACTAAAAGAATTCTGCATCCTAAAATAACTTTATCAAAGATGATTTAAAATCTGTTTTCATAGGCTTTTAATTGATTATAGTATATAACCACTGAAAAAGCAAGGGCTGTGTAAAAATGTCCTGAAAAACTATAGACCAATATCACATCTACCTTTCTTAGGTAAATTCCATGAAAAAATGGCATGTTCGCAACTAAGTAGTTATCTGGCTGAAAATAAACTCTTTGGGAAATTTCAGTCTGTCTGTAAAGAAGGCCACAGCACTGAGACAGCTCTACTTCGAGTCCACAACGACATAATGTTTGCCCTGAATAAACAAAGAGACGTCATTTTAGTACTTCTAGACCTTTCAGCAGCTTTGGGCACTATAGATCATGACATTCTTCTTTATAGGTTGCAGCATCGCTTTGGAGTGAATGGACTTGCACTTAGTTGGTTTACCTCATACCTGAAAAACAGAACACAATGGGTTTAAATAAAGTCAGCTTTATCTCAGCCAATTAACTTTCAGTATGGTGTCCACAAGGGTCTGTGTTAGGTCCCTTCCTATTCTCATTATACATGTTACCTGTAGAAAATATCATACTAAGGCATGGTCTGAACACTGTCATTTTTCAGATGACACACAAGTCTATATTACATGCAAGAGCAGCCAGTCTGCAACAATCACTTCTATGGAGGCTTGTCTTACAGAGATTCGAGAATGGATGAGCGTGAACATGTTTGTTTTAAATGATAGTAAGACTAAGTTGATATGGTTCACATCAAGGTTCAAGGCAAATAGGAAAATTGCAGCAAACGCCAACATTTGAATGAAAGATATTCTTGTAAAACCATCTAGTTCTGTAAAAATCTGGGAAATCGATGAAAATGGCACTATGGGGAAGCGTGTATCTGAAGTGTGTAAATCAGCATCTTATGCACTATGGCGTATTGGAAAAATAAGGAAAGTGTTATATAACAAAACCACTGAAAATTAGTACATGCACTTGTATCATCAAGATTAGATTACTGCAATAGGCTCTTCTAACACAATAGTGTCAAACTGGGCCAACTAGCCCCGGTCTCCCCTAGCTCTAGTCGCCGCTTAACCCCACGCCTGCTATGAAATTAACTGCTAGGTGCTTAAACAGTGTAAGAAGTGTTTTGGTCATTTATAAAAAAGTTTTTAAAACTTTAAATAATGTTTTTCCAGAATGTTATAAAAACACTAATAAAACTCCACGAGATAACGATTATCCCCGAAGAAGGCCCAGGGGCCGAAAGCTTGGATTATATTTGTCAATTGTAAAATAGATCTTCAGAGATGCATCAGTGATAATACTCATAAAGTTTTAAAGAAACGGTCTTCGAATCTTTCTACGATTATTATAACGTTACCATAATGTGTTTTTGTTAGCTGGAGCATTATTTTGCATAACGTTACCATATTGTTATTCTGTACCATAACCGGCATGTAACCAGTTCAAAGACATATTGTAGCAAAATGCCAAACATTATGAACATTTCTTGAAAAAAAAACATGATTTCACATTTGGTTAAAAGGCGGGTTATGAAAGTAGCTATTTTTCCAGTAGGCTATTTTCTATGGATGTGAAGCTTGGGTAAATAATAGTGCTAAACTGGTAGAGGTACATGTACGTGTAACTTACAGGTCAATTGCAAAGTTTCTGCTTGGTGTATGAGTGACAACACATATATATATAAGCCTTGAAACTAGTCTCGGATGTATGACAGTAAAAAACGTCGCCTACGCACAACATATGTGATCAGGTCAAGAACCCGGATGGACGGCGCCGCATCACTGATGTATACCGCAATCAAAACAATATAGTTCCCCCAAAACACGTGGATCTAACAAATCACTCGGATGATGTTGTGCGTAGGCGATTTTTTACTGTCATACATCCGAGACTAGTTTCAAGGCGTTCGGAAGATAGCCGGAAATTGTCGAGGAGTTCTGAATGTCCTGTCAGGGCGCCGCCATGTTTATTATTGTTTACATCCGGGTATCTAGAGTAGTTTGCACTACTTCCAAAATGGCGACGTCTGTCATACGGCCGAGATATATGATGACGCAGGAATCAATCGACGGTGAGCCGAGTGAATAAGCCAGTGTCAGCACTAGATCATATACGGCAGCGGGACGGAAGCTAGTAATCATGGCGGCCCCCAGCGCCGCCGCAATCGGCAATCCTCGGCTCATTCCGCAAGCTCCATACTAACCATACTTATTGTCGAGTGCGAAGACATCCGAGTAGTTCCGAGTGGCGCCGCCGAGACATTTATAGGATGTAGTTTTACAGCAAAATATCTAGGAAAATATACATGTATGCTATAGGCTATCCCTAGGGATTCTTTATTGATACACCTTCACAAATAAGGTACAATCAAAGACAGTACATCTAGCAGAGTACAAACAAGTAAATGAATAAATATACATGATTTTGATGCGATATAGATGAATAGGCCTACGTGTTTAAAAATGGGCCGAAGTACAATCATAGAGGTAAAACAGACAACTCCAGCTACAGATACGTAAATTTGCAGGACGTGGAAACGCATTTAGACCCAATTAGATAAATGTATAATAATACTAATAAATGAGTTTATAAAGTGATATATATAAAATTTATAATGATAATCTACAGGCGATGAATTTAAATACAAACACTGAAAAGAGTACAATGTATAAGAGAGGGTTTGTTCCCTTTGTTGGAAGCATCTATTTACAAAACGCATAACCATTCTAAGAATATTTAAGTCTTGAGCACCCATAAGAAAATTATACAGTTCATTAAAGCTGAAGTCGCCTAGGGGTAGGAACTCTGACAGCTGCCCTCTGAAGGGATCACGTATTGAATCATATGTTTTGCACTCTAGCAGGAGGTGGAACTCATCTACTTTATTCAAACCGCAAAGTTTACAAAATCCCAGGTATAATACGATTAAAAAATAAAAAAGATAAATTAAAAAGTAAATAAAAATTATATGCTATATTCCTAGTTATTATACGATTAAAAAAAAAACAATTGAACTGTGTTTTGATCGGCACTACAACATTCGACTATCAGCCTTAGCATCTCGTCGCTAGGGACCGCCATGTTGGATTACTCACTTCCGTCCCGCTGCCGTATATGATCTAGTGTTGTGTTGTCGGCCTTAAAATGTCGTTTGACTACGCCAGACTTATCTTTGTTGGAATAAATGATCTATCTTTCTATCGAGCCAGTAAGTTGGCCTACTAATACAGTACGTACGGAGGTACCCGGTATCTACAGCTCAAATTATTTTAGGGTATTTACAAGAGTGGAGTAAATCGTATCGTGTTCTTAACACTCGATCTCCCCTCTGTCCGCCTACAGTGCATGGACTACACATTTCTGCTACAGGTGACACACGTGCAACTCTCTTCATCTCTACACCGCAGCATCAATACTCGTACAGTCTATACAATTAACGCAAGGTAGGCCCTATCAGTTAACCTTACCTATACGAGCTGAAGTGAAGTCATTTCCACTGACGCCAGCCAATCATGCCTGTGTTCTAACAAAACCAAAAAAAAATCCCCTATGCTATTTTTATCTTAAAGGGGGTTGCCTCGCGTCATTCACCTTCTTTATTTATTTTTTGGTTCTAGCATTTAAAAAAGGGTTATGAAGTCAGTGGAGATGACAATGTGACAGTGTCTAATTTGAAACCTAATTTGAGACCCTTTACACTGTAACATTAGGCCTAACGACACAAAATTTTAATAAGATGAATGCCTGGTGGACAGTAGAACTATGCACGCTTATGACTTATGACTTATGGGCAGAAACCACCAAATGATTTCCCATTGACGACCATACTAAGAAATGCCTGCAAAATTACTGGGTGAAACATTACCCATCCCAATGGACAGCAGACACACTGACAAAACTCCCAGTGGCACAAAAATATACTGTCATCAGACATTCTTTCTGGGGTCCGCCATATAGATAAACGTCCTAATAAAATATTCGTCCCGATAGATACGCCTCTATACCAGGGCCGTAGCCTGCTGGGGGCAGGGGGGGGGGGGGGCAACTGCCCCTTCCCCCTGGGATTTGAGGTGCAAAAAAAAAATAATAATAATAAAATAATCGCACAGGTAAAAAAATTTGCAAAGTTGGTTATCAATTCTGTGAGAAAATGTACTCATGGCCACTAGACAATTATTCAAGAATCTGTTTACAAAGGTGTACTGTTTTTAGCCAACTCAGTTCATGCCAAAAAGCTCACCCTCCCTTAGGGAGCTATCCCCCAGGCTGTACTTATGGCAAAATGAACCCACAATTTCTGACTTCTGATTGAGCAATAAATAACAGTTAAATGCACTAGAATGCAGTATTATACATACAGTTTTTAAAAATTTTCCACACCGTGTGAGGGGGACACACCCTCCCACACCTATCACCACACTCCTATCACTTTCGAGTGATAGTCTGACTGCGAGTACCGACCCACTTAGTGATCTGACTTAATTACAACCTGATATTTATTACCTTAAAGGTATGGTAAGCTCTAAAAAAGGGGCAAATTCCCTAAGAAAACGAATTTCACCCGGGTAAACTGGACTTAATTTTACCAGTCCATTTTTGTTCTAAATCATCAATCCAAACTATCCAAGAGCACTTTTACAATTAGTTTGAGTTTCTTACGATGTCTTAAGATACTATATATGATCAGAATTTAAATTCTCCCAACCTACACATTACTTAAATTAAGTAAAAGTTATCGATTAATTGCATTTCCAAACAAACTATGTTGTTTACAAGGGCGCGTCGGAAGCGGGAGGAGGGGGCTGCAGCCAATAATTTGCTCTTGTATCTTCCCCTGGCTTAAGCTACCCTTGCTCGCACAGCCCCCCCCCCTTCCCCCTTCCGACAGCAGTGAGGATGAATTAACGGGAGTGTTAACTTGACATATAAATAACGTGAGCGCAGACCTCCGCCAAGGCAGCAATTTTTTTATTATTATTGATTATTGATTGATTATTGATCCGGATCACTACCAAAAACTAATCATCTCTTCCTTGGCCCACTTCCGACAGTTCCTGAAAATTTCATTAAAATCGGTCCATAATTTTTTGGGTTACAGTATGTTGATGACAAACAAACAAACAAACAAACAGACAAACAAACAAACAGGGGTGAAAACATAACCTCCCTGGCGGAGGTAAAAATTACGAGCATTTACGAGAACAAACTTTGCCCTTACTAGGGCTTTAAATTTTGACCTGAAATTTTATCAGAATACAGTAATATGCTCAAATATCCACTAATAGTAATACATATTTAAGTCCACCCCCTCTTCCCCAGCATTACTGAAGTTGCTGAAACATTTATAATCTGAAATAGAAATGTGGCAACGCCATACCAAACCGGAGGGCCTATTTATTTATTTATTTATTTATTTATTTATTTATTTATTTATTTATTGAACGTAAAATACAAGTGAGAAGGCGGTTTGAACATGTTGACATATTCTAAAACAACTTTTTAAACAAATTCAATATAACGAAGCAACCATTTTGAGCAATAGTGTACCCGTAATGGATCTATCGGTATTTGGATCTAAAAATACGTGGATCTATAGGTATGCGGATTTATAAGTACGTGGGTTTATGTGGAAGTCGTATCTATAGGAACGCAAATACATGTATATAGGACGATATTAACAAATCGGATCTATCAGTATTTGAATTTAAAAAGACGTTTTTTTTTCAGTTTTTCCTTTATGTATCTATCGGTAACGGGAGTATAGTGACTTGAATATTTTGGGACTAAATTTTATCCGTACGTCCCCTCACGACTGCACGGCACCTGTGCCTGGTCCTAAAAAAAAACTGGCAGTTGTTTACACCCTTGCCTGCTAGTCGATACTGGAATTAACCCTAGAAACACACAAGAAATGCCAGGAAAAAAGGAAAAAGCACTAATTTTCTCTCACTGAACTACAGTCGGTGATTTGTCCAATTTAGTGGTTTCTGCCCTTACGCACCATTCGTGTAATGGAGGTAGAAAATGTAATCTGTCAACTTTTATCATTTATGTAATAGCAGGGGCGTAACCATGCAGACCTTTTAAAATTGTACGTTTTTTGGCTAAAATGAACAGTTCTTATCCATTTAAGTGAATATACCGTATTGGTCATAATCATGTGTATGTTTATTCCGTGGACTATTCGAAGATTGCAACTCTAAATTAAACTTAAATTTTAAGGTTAAAAATCCACTCCTTTACCCAACATACAAATGTAGGCCAACATAGCATTTTTGTTGTTGCAGTGTTCTTATCATTTATAGGTAATGTACAAATTCAACCAATTATTGTTATTATCCAAAACTCTATGTAATAATATATCACGCAGTATAATTCAGCTAAAAAAAAACCAAACTTAAGTTAAAATCCTCTTATATTTTGATTTCTTATTTCAGAATATTCCCTTGATAAGTGTCATTTCCAGACACATTCAAGACTTTTCGTGTAGACTCGGCAGTCTGCCTGGGTTGATTGCCGAGCTTATAAATCAATCAGTTAAATACACAACAAGGAAATGCTTCCTTTCAATTGAAAATGATATTAAGGGATGTGCATGGGAATAAAATAGGTTCATTTAATTAAGTCTTATACATTATCATGAAACAACGAAAATTACTGATATTTAGAGCAATTCTCCTTTACCTCGGGGATTCGTAATATTGAATATAGCCTATACCGGCACTTCAGATTATTGCCTAACTTCTATACTAATACAACGTGTAACTACTTGAATGTGCCTGGTGGCCGTTCGATTTTGTACACTCTCGAGCCTCTTTATCTCTCCTGGCAGATTATACATGCCAAAAAAACGGGGTGCGGTGTGGGCCAAAATATTGCCTCGCCATCGTCGATACCTTGGCGTGGGTACAGGGAAAGGTGACTCGAGGGTATGTGCCCGCCCCCTTCTTCCTTAATTGGTCCAAGGGTGAGTTTTTCTCTCCCTTTTTGGGGTTCCTGGAAGCAATGTATCTCGGTAATATAAGGGCAAAGATGTTGATGGGATGCTTCTTTTGCATAAGTAAACCATGCTTCTGAGTGATCCTCCCCCCATCCCCCCCCCAATTCAGCGCCTTCATATTTGTCATCGTCGTCTATTTAAAGCCTAGATGACATCTAATCGCCAAAAGACGAACAACCCTAAAACGTTTTTCAAAAATATATGTGAAAAGCGCTCATTATTAGGTATGTCTGTTAAGATACTTTATAGCATATTACAAAAGCTTCAAATTGTCATTGGTGCGGTTGGTTGTGCCATTAGACAAAAGTCGCAACAAACGCAGTCAATGTCAAACTACTCATCATCTCTCGGTTTTCGTGTTGCATTCGGTATTATTTTATACATGCAAGGAATCTAAATATGATTGGTATTCAATTGGAATATCAACAACGCCACGATTAAAATTTCTTTTCTAAGGAACCAGTTGTTCAAGAGATGATAAGAAAAATTTGCCATTTTTGTCCATTCACTTCCATGCAGTAGTCCCTTCGATTGCTGCTACAACGTTAACATCCATTCAGGTAATCAAACTCTCCAATGACAATAACCAACACTTTATTTTGAATTTTTCGATTTATATTTTATACAAATATTTTGGAACTAATTTTCGTCTCTTACTATTTAATTTTACAATGGAAATGGAACATAAAGGGAACAAGTCCGTCAAACAGCGACATCCGAAACTCATTTCCAGAGTATAAATATTATACAATATATTTCCAGATAAAATAAAGAATATAATACATATCAGAAATGTAGTCCTTATATGATCGATTAAATATACCGCACTTTGGTGAATCATAAATTGGCACTTAAACTAAATTTTATATCTCAAATCAGTTTTCAGTCTCATTTCAGTACCCGCTCTTGATCATAAGCGATCTGAAAACTTTACACAAAGAACGTATTCACGGTTGCAGCTATCTTCTTTGAACATTTTGGGCAATTCCTTTCATTTGGAGCGCAATTTTTGCAGCAAGTAATATGGGCACAAGGCAAAAATAAAACGGTTGCATCTTCAGTACAGGACGAGGTGAAACAACGTCTTCTTTCTTTCAGGTCTCGATTTTCACGACGCATTACTGAAAATTATGAACACTTCATTTAAATATACAATTAAAGGCCTTATTTAAACATAAATTTCGGTTAGACTTCTTTTGAACCATTATATACTTTAATGAAAAAGGCAGCTCTTCAAATGTATGTGAGCATCTTAACTTTCCATCATACGACGAAAATAATTATGATTCCTTCACAATTTTGTTAAAACGACTTCGTTCACTTTCAATGCAATCATTGAAGTAACTGAAGGGCATACGTATTAGACTTTACCTGATATTTCGTCATCACCATCGTCAATATCATTATCACTTCCAGCAAGATTCTCTGTAAAATTTATAGATGATTTCAGAAGTAAAAGTGTTCATAAATTCTAAAGTAAAAAACGAACAGAAATATGCTTACAATATCAAATTATCTTAAGAATACACAGCGTTTACGACTCTAAGTTATTACTTCACGAAGCGTAGACTTCTAAAATATGATGGAATTCAATCCTTGTCATAATTTTAAAATGTCTTGTATTCAAATCGAAATATTTTGTGACTTTATTTACCGGAATCAGAGATAAGCTGTTGCGAAGTCCCTTCCATTTGATTATCCTCCTTTTTGGCCTTTTCTTCTAAAGCAAATAGTTCTTCTATTATGACTTCAGCGCTGGGAGGTTCTGGCCCTGAATAAATAGCACGGGTGTAGAATAAAGCGTTAACTGATATTTTCCTGGGCGTAAAAAAATACCGAAAGAGTGAAAATACTGATAGAGTCCTGGGCATAAAAAAATACTGAAAGAGTGGAGCGGTCTACTTCAAAGCTTTTCACAAATAACGTTCCCTTTTTAAGCTGCTCTGAAAGCATCGCATTCAGATCGTCCCGTTACCTGCATCCATCACAATAATTAGGGCCTGCATCTAGATATAGTTAACCCAGAGGTTTTAATTAACACAAACTAAATGCAATGACTTTAAACTGCCACATGTAAATTTGTGACACAGGTCAAGTAAATTGTTGAAAAATTACCTTTTTCTTTGAACAATTTTTCCACTATTTGCCGAATTACAGCAACATCAAAACCCATGCCCAGAACTGAGCGAACTGCAGGTGACCTCATGGCAGATTCCACACTTATTTCCTAATTTAATAAAATGATATGTTAAAAGACTATATATGCGACATATGCTAGAACCAACAAACAAAATAAAACACACATCAAATTTGCATTCTTTAAATTATGCGATAAATAAAATATGCATAAGAAAGCCATTTCACTCACCACTAAAAACAACAAAAGCCTTATATAGTTTTCGTCTTTGTGTAACATATAAAAACATGATATGGTTCTGTGTCATATATGTCAGATTTCTACAGGCTTCAGTTAAAGTGCAGAAAATTGTGCTGTCACGATCAAACCTGTAAAATGCCTACACATGCTGATCCTGACCAATTTCCTTACCTTGGTAGGCGACGATTTTCCTTTCCCTTGGATATCCCTAATGAAGTCCACGCCTTTACACTGTTTGACAAACCCGCATTTAGGAAACCAGCGTGCATGTTCTACCCATGGATCATCTCCTTGTGCCCAATTACATAATCCTCCATTGCAGAAAAAGCACTGAAATGGTGAAAAAATACTAATTTATAGTATTGCAAATGTATCACAATATTAAAAGTTGATTTAAGACTAGGGTAACATTTTTCGACAATCAGTATCACACATCGATTTTCAAAACAGAAATATTAACTGTCACGTTCATTTCACTAACTTTTGTAATTGGCAATTTTAGTCTCAGCAAATTAAGTGTTGTTTATTATTGCTATTTAACTTATTTGTTTGTTCATTCATTTATCTATTAAATCTATTCAATTACCAATATAAACTACAAATCTTGCGTCATACCTTAACTTTATCATCGTAGCCTGCATAAAAGAATCCAGCGTGTGCCAGTTCTGCAGGAGCCTGGGACTTGTCTCTTGGCCAATCGGTAAAAGACTGGACTCTTTTAACCTCAATGGCAAACTGTTGGTTCTTTGGCCTTTCAAACACTATGGGGCTCTCCTCTGAAAGCGCAAGCAGGGCTTCGTTAGCGCTAACAGTGGTGCCATCTTCTTGCAAATTCGACTGGTTGACAAAGCTGCAAAGTGGAAAATGTCGGCGGTGTTCAGCCATTGGGTCGTCCCCGGTTTCAAAGTTGCACATCTTCCCTTGGCAAAACACGCAGCGCACGGTGTCTGTTCTTCCAGTGAATACAAACCCTGCTTCTGCCACAGTCTGTGGATCTATATCGCTATGTGGCCAATTGACAAACGTCTCTAATCTTGCCCACGTGCTTTGGCGGTAGTAAGAATCACTACTGCTGTTCTCCGGGTTATTGTATACTGATGTTCTGACCCCATCTGGGGCATCTATATTTTGTGCTGTATTTGTAGATTTGTTTTCAAAAGTGCCCCCTCCTTGCACAGTAATGGACATGCCGCCGACAGCCCCTCTATCTTCCTCCAAAGCTGCCTGACCAGCACCAGGAGCAGGGGTTGTTAATATAGGCATGTTCCTGTTGCCCAGCCCTTTGATATAATCGCATGTCGGAAAATGCCTCATGTGTTCCAACTCTGGATTGTCTCCCGGTTGCCAGCTCTGCAAACGTCCATGGCAAGAGAAACAAATGACCCTGTCACCCTCCCCAGAATAATAAAATCCTGCTCGGGCAAGACGCGTTGCTCCCACGGGTGCGGTGACAGGCCAGTTTTGAAACGAACTGACCCTCAGCGCTTCATACTGCATTTCTTCACCAGGAGCAAATGGAGGTCCATTTTTTAAACGCTCAAAATATGAATTAAGTGAAAGACTGTTCACGTTATCACTAGAAGTAGCCATTTTAATATATATACATATATCCCACTTAATGACCCAAAAATGTTTTAGAAATATCTATAAGGGTCGATTTTAGTCGCTTTTTGCGATGATAAGAAAAAGTAATCTCCTTTATATATTGAATAATATATATCCCTACATAGCCCAAGTGTTTATGCCTCCTGTGCTTGGGGTGAAAGTTGTGTAATATTTTCGTTTTGGAAATGGCGTTACAGATTACTATCCATAAACAGCAGTCTCTTAAAGACTTATTCCATTTACGAGATTTCTCTCCGATTCTACATGGCACACGAAGTGCCATCATGGCCGATTGACAGCATTTTGAAATGTTATGTATTGTGATGTATAAAATTTTCAATTCGATGTCGAAGTCTCCCTGGCAAACTGATCCGTCTTCATTTCGATAGCGTTGTGAGATGTTCTGAAATGATATATGAGACATTGGATTTATCGATCTTTTAATATCAAGTAGTGCCTACTGGTAACATCCTTTCAAGTACAAATCAACACTATCAGTATTATCCCTCCGTACATTATAAATAAATTAATTTAGAAAAAAGAAAAATTATGCAAAATTGAGAAATTTTTGAGAAAATCCTAGCCAATAAACCCGACCAAATGCCATCCATTCGTATTAAAGAAATGCCAATTAAAGGTGTCATATCTTACTTACCGAAAAACGACACTTTACGGATATTATCTGCTATTTCACTTGAGTCTTGGTGTATACTGCTGCACGTGCAGCAGTATTGTTTAACCAGGGAATTATATATATCCGATGTAATTCCCTGGTTTGACGGACTGCGATTATCTGGACAAAGAGGTCATTATGTATACGACCAGAAATTTGAAGAAGGTGCCGTTTTAAAGCAACGCTGTATTTTATGGCGGACCGAAGGGTTACTTAAGTTTATCCCTTAGCATGACGTCTTTACTGATTTGAGTCGTACAAAAAACTAGTAGAAGTGGTTTATACTATAGTTAACATTACAGGGAATCCACGCTCGCTTTGTATGTCGGAGTATGTAACTTCAACTGATTTTGGTCCTTTTTTGCGTTATTGTAGACAAGTTAGTGTTCTAAGGTTTTTTTTTTTTTTTTTTTTTTTTGTCTATTTACTTGTACCTGGTTGGTTAAACAATCAGGGTGAAAATTAAGCGTGGCCATACCCCTCGTTTTTACAATACATGCACCGGTAAGCCTACATTGTTTCCCGCACCGTAGGGACATGCACCCCGTTCAAAATAATAATAATAATAATAATAATAAAAATAATTATAAATAAATAAATAAATAAATAGATAAATAAATAAATAAATGTCGACCCCAGGTAAATTTATAAAATTATATTTTTTGTAAATATAGGTCCTGTATTTGAAAGAGAGTGGTGTGTTCGTTGGCTAACTGTACATATAGGCTACTGATCAGGAAGTTTTAAATAATGACCATATCGATGTGTTGCGAAAATAAAAAAAAAAATTGCCACAAATATACATGTATATTTGCATAGCTTTAAAATCCTGTTGGGTGTCACAATATTGATATTTTCTGTTGACGATATTATATGTTTCAAATGTTATATATACAAGTCGCACTGTAAAAAAATAAAGCAAAATCAACTGATAAAAAATGTCATTTGTTTTGTTTTTCATTTGTCTTTTCACAAAAAGAAACTCTCATAAGTTGACCACATGTAACAGACAAATGTTTATTTACAAAGAAGAAATATGAAATATCTTTTCATTTCCAACATTCTTCCTGTGCAAGCTTTGTTTCTCTATATAGCCAATAGTGTGCTAAGGGGGGGGGGGGGGGGGGGGGGCAAAACGGGGCTAGATTACAACTAGAATGTACTAAATCAAAACGAGGCTGGTATACGGATATTGCACACACGGCTGTTGTGTTTGGGGGTGGTCGGCTCATGCCTTGGTTTAACTACCTCTAATCAATATAGCACGATCTAAGGCTGGGCCCCTGGAACGTGTGTTTTGACAACGCCCCTGGTTAAAGATTTGATATTGTTTATGGGACGCTAGATATTGAGAGTTAATTAATACTCTGCTTCCCTTGGATTTTATCTTTTTCACGTCTCTGTAACGTAGTGATTTTATGTATAAGTTTTAAATACCTAAATTTATCAGATAGAGTGACTGTTCGTGGCCATGTATAGCGTACTGCTTTTGGCTAGCATGACGTGAGGCGTCTCACCTCAACGTGGTGTGGAAAGAGGCGTCTCACCTCTGTATGAAATTGACCAAAGATGGGGGATAGGCTGTACGGAAGACGTGGTGCCTGGTGGGGGAGAAGGGGGTAGGCTGGTTGCAGATTTGTGCTATTCGAGGACGAAGGTCCTTCAGGGGCGGATTTAGGCCGTCATCTGGGTCTTTCGGAAGACGGTCAGATTTTCAAGTTTACATTGACGGGTATCTAATTTTTTCTGTTGGAAGACGGTCAAAATGGAGGATGAATCAACAAAAATAATTTGGAAGACTGTCAGTGAATAGCTCTGGGTCCGCCTCTGATTAGGTAAAGTTCTTTACATGCTTACATTGACAGAAAGCTAAATAAATTTGCCACACCTTACTGGTAATTCAAAATTTTGACCTGATCTCTAAGAATGCAAACATTGGAGTTCAAGTTAAACTTCCGTAGCAGCTTTAGTAAAATTTCGATTTCAAACTCCCTTTTGTGCGTAAAATAGGACCCACTAGCAGATCCACTAGAAGAGTATCTCGCAAGATTAGAAATTTATTTCTTAAAATAACAATATACATATCAAAATTCTTATGACCTCATTAGTCGAGATATTCCACCGTTTCTGACACCCTATAAATCTCCAAATATTCCCCCAATTCAAATTGCTAATAAACTTCTATTCCGGTTTGTTTAGTGTACACCTCGTTGCGGGTCGGTTGTTCCACTGCTATAAATAGAAAGGGTATTTTACTTATTACATTTTCATTCGGGAAATTCACAGCGTCATTTTGAAGGTCTAAGTCAATAGGCCGTCACAATTGCTACCGATTGAGTTTCTTGCCAACTGCTGTTCGTCGTCGTTTTTCTGAAGCTGCCATTCGTCTGAATTTTTTTAAACTTTCAATGTAGTCTTTAATATTTAAAATTGTCGCTGTAGGGTTTTTACGCATTTAATTTGCATGACGATTTAAGAGTTGGTCATACACTGGTTCTCAATATAAAGTTCCATTTGAAGAAAACAAAAAGGTAAAAAACGAAGTTAAAGATATATTTGCAAATTCGAAATATGTTTCACGTTGCTTCCCCTCGAATGTTTTGCAAATTACTTTTCAAGAGAAGGTATACATGTAGTTTTGCCGTGTTCCTTGTTTTTTATTTGACTGTCACATCTAGTAATTGTTTTCCAGTGATTTAAGTTGCTAGACTGATGTTACTTACAGTAGTTTACTTTTCTTTATTTTATTCTATCTCACAAGCTGGATATTTTCAACATAGAGAAGTTATTGAAGTTCCACTTGGCCAAACAATTCTTCCGCTTGCTTACTTTTATTATTTTTTAAATGTTTAATGCACCTTTGTATATCGAGAAGCAGTACATGTATTGGCCTATAGCCCTCTTTTACTCGGTAATTGATATCTAAGGTCTACTGTCGTGCTACAGTACAGCTAGAGACCAGTGGCGGATTTAGAGGGGGGTCAGGGGTTCACAACTTATATAGTACGAGTATACATGTACATTCTTAATATTAGAAATGGTCATACGTCCCCGCACCGATACATCCCTGCACCGATACTCCCCCCAAATTATACACAATTATGAGGGGAAGTATCGGTGCGGGGATGCACCGGTGCAGGGATCTTTCGGTGTGGGATCGTATCGATGCGCATGATACAAAAAAAATTACTAAGGGGGGAATTATCGGTGCGAGGGACTATTGGTGCGGGGGAGTAACGGTGCGGGGGAGTATCGACATGACCCCTCTAAAAAAACAAATTTTGGGGGGCCCTTCGTCAGGCCCCGAACCCCACGCCAAGCCCCCCCCCCCCCCCCCCCTTCAAATAATCATAGATCAACCCCTGGAGAGCGTATATGGGAGTGCTAATGAATTTGCGTGCTATGTACGGGAATCTTTGCTAGTTGACAAAAGAAGAACAAACGTACAGTACGTACCTTTACGTTTAGCCTACTATTACATGCGATCCGCTCTCAGCGCGAACAAATTATTCGCCATGTAGGCCAATATTCACTTCTTCTTCCAACTGAAACAGACCCATCGATCATCAACTAATAATAGGCTACTGAGTGGTAAGGGAATTTTTATACATGTAGTACCTATTTTCATCTAGTGAAAATTCCCAGCGGAAAGTCCCAGGTCAAAGGGGAGGTCAAAGTGAGCAAAGTAGGGGATGAAGTAAAATAACGACGTTAACAAATCAAGGGTCGCATTATGGTTATAACATGAATAACGTTAGTTAAAATAATTCGCCAAAGCGTTAGTTATACAGGTAATAATGCACATAGGTAAAAATCTATATCATTGTCTCTATGGGGGTATATAGGAACTTTACGACATTCGGTTTGAAGGCTTCAACCACTTCTGATAGGGTCGGGCTTTTTTTGCATTGTTTTAGATTAATGTGGCAGTCTAAGGTTGTTTTAGGTGGTTTTCAAACTTATGCACCCGGTTTTAAAATCATATAGCGATTTTACGACAATCGTTTACTCACTATCCAATCAAGGTGACAGCCGAGCGTGACCTCACCTGGTGGCATTCTCTTTTCGTGCAATGGAAATGGTGAACATAACATGCCACCTTTTATCATCCCAAGAGGTTATGTGTAATGGGACCGTATATAATCTGGAGGAGCGAAAGCTAACATTCAGAGATGAAGAGTTTTGGATCTATATCGGAGTTTACATTGTTTTAGTCTTATTCGCAGGTAATTTAATTGCTATATAGGCCCCTACCGGTATTTTGTACGCCCGGGGTCTCCAAATCATTATAATATTAAGAATGTATATTCGT